CCCCAAAACCCCAAAACCCCAAAACCCCAAAACCCCGGAAGAAGGAAGGATTGTTGATAAATTATTGGAAAATTATAGGAGATTATCATCGAATTTGATGCTATCATTAAGTAGATCCTCTTCAACCTTGACTGATTCACTCTCTTGTGAGCAATTTTCTCCAGACATAACTCTGTCAAAGTCTATTTCTTGAGTTTTGGCAAATTTAGGGTCCTGAGGGATTTCTTCGATATCATACTTTAACTGGTCACCTGGAATGAAATTAATGTCATTCATTGAATGTTTTGTCTTATGGCCACTCTCATGCATGGAGTGATTAGACCTACGTATCCTATTACCATCCTTATCAAACTGGGTATCTTCTTCATCGTGCTCATCGGCTTCCTTAATAGTGTTGTTTTCCAGTGCCACAAGTTTATTTTGATTCTCTAGTGGAGCAACTTCAAAGGGAGTTTCTTCTGTATTGAATTTCTCTAGTTCTTCAAGGGTTTCCTCTATCATTTTTTTACGTTTCTTTTGGGCTGTCTTTTTCTTATGCTTCTTTTTGCCCTTATTTACTTGACTTCAGCTCTTTAGATTTCTCTTGGTCAAGATCAAGCTTATCTACATCCTGTAAGGTCTGGAACAGATTTAACTGAGGATCTCTGAAGAAGTCATAATCCTTATTAGGAGTCATATCTTGGTTTTCAGTATTAAGAACTGAGGAAAACCCAATCCTACTGGTTGAATCGTAGTTATTTGACTCTGGACTACACAAAGGATTTGGTATATTCAGCTCTTGGTAGTCAAATTGTTGTGGTGAACGTTTTTCAGCTGGGCTGGTTTGGATATTAAATTTTTCATTCAATACTTCTAAGCCTTCACTATATCGGCCGATTTCTTCCATACTTTCACGTAAATTATCAGCATATGTGTTTATCATAGGCAGGACCTCATTTACGTTCTCTTCGTATTCATGAACAAAACTGATAGCATGCTTCTGTAACTGAGTTTGCTTCTCAAGATCAGTAAGTAGTTTTTCAGAAAGCCCTAAAACTTTGTAGAGTTCTACTCACTCTTTAACAGCAATGGAGTACCTTTTGAGCGGCTTCATCATAATTTTATTTTGAGCAGCTATGGACTTTGATTGGCCCATTATTGTAGATTTCTCATCTTCAAGTGTTTTTATCCGCTCTTTGAATCCATCAACTGCCTTTATTTGAGCATCTGAGAATAAGTTCTTGATCAACTGGATTTGAGAATTTGAGAGATCCTTCTTGTTCTTCCCTATCAGTGCTAAGGATAGATCAGAAACAGTGTTGTTGAGCACTTCATAGCCATCCTTCGAATCTGAAATCTTCTTAATAGTGGTCTCAAGATCTATGTTCTTCTTTTCCAAAGTGGAGACCTTACTTCTCAATTCTCCTTCTTGCTCTACTTTCTCTAAAAGTTCTTCTCTTTGGTGGTCATGTTTTATATTAAGTGCTTTGAGTTCAGCCTCACATTCCTCATATTTATCAGTGATTTCAGAGATTTGGAAACCCAGTTCTGCCTCCAAGGAGTCTTTCTCGTTAGTTAATTTATCAATAATTTCAAGGTATCCTGGACATATCTCTCACTTGAGGTCAGAGATTGAAGAGGTATTTCCAATTCTCTTCTTAAGGTATTTGTTCTCCTCTCTCAGTTTGATAAAGTCTTTCTTGACGACTTCGATATCAATCTGAGAGCTGTTCCCCCAGTTGAAAGAGAAGGACTCGTTCCGGTTAGAACTCCTATTAGACATTGAGATCGGACTTGAACACTCATTTGTCTTATCCACTTCATTTGATGATGATACTATATTGCAGAACTCATCTCAGGATAGTTTTGAATTTGAAGCTTTATGATATCCAATATCAGATTTCTTCTTGGAATGCTCTTCATATTTTTTACAAAGATTGTCAAGTTCTGAGAAGATTGACTCATTTATTTCACTTCCGTCCTCTTGTTCTTCAAAATCTAAGAGATTGAGTCATACTCTCAGATGGTCTTGAAGTGGCTGATACTTGGATTCTTCAAAGGATGCCTGATTGCTATTTTCTTCTTGCACGAATTTCTCAAAATCTTTGTAATAATTCAGGAACACCAGGTTGAACTGATTACACTTCTTCATGAGTTCATCTGCTTTTTGCAGTCTTTGCTGCATTTTGGCAGCAACTTTCTTGAAATCATTAACTTCAGAGTCAAGCTGCTTTATGGTTGAAATATACTTGAGCTCTTTCTTCTTCAGTGCTTCTATTTGCTCAGCTTTGGCCTTCTCCAAGGACTTTAGCTCATAAGTGAGACTAATGGACTTACCTTAGCTGTGCTTGAGTCTTTTCCTGAACAATTCGATGTTTTAGTTCCTGGATAGATGCTAGTTCTTCCTTTCGGTGGCTTATTTTTAGGACTCCGCATTCTGCTACCTAACCTTGAAGTGGTCTTTTTGGCTACTGGACGATCTGTGTTGCTCCCATAATTAGATTTATCTCTGCCATTTTTCTCGGAGGTATAGCTTGATTTGTTGTTTACTTTATTAGTAGTCTCAGACTTTTTCCTCTTGAATTGAGTCGAAGCACTGCTTATGGATATATTATCCTTGATTTCGTTATCATTGATCGACTTGCATTTTTGAAGCCTTTTAGGGTTGTATTTACGAGAATTACCCTTGGCTGTAATATTATCCAAAATTTCTTTGCAGCCACCAATTGGTTGATATTTTATAGTAGTATCACTATCGAGCCTCTCCCTAATATGATCATTTGTGGAAAGAATCTTGGAATCTTTGTTCGGCATTTTTGCTGCATGAGAGTTAGAAATTGTATGTAATTTTTGACTGAAGTTCTCCATTCTTCTGATGCCATGATAAGGGTAATCATTAACCTTCCCATTCTTTGTGGAGGCTACTGAGCTCTTCTCACTACCACAGGTATCCATATTTTTGGAGCTAATAGTGCTCTTGTCCCCTTTCATGTTCCTGTGATAGTCATTAAGTTTCTTTTTGTTTTCATACACAGAGCTAATTGATGGAGGCTGTTTTGGTGTAGAGGCATGTCTTGGGTCAAAGGAATTCCTGTCATCGAATTTGCTGATACTATATATTACCAGATGTTTTTACCTCTGCTCTATTTTGTGAATTGAAGAATCTTGGTTGGTCTTCCTATTCTTAGAAGGACTCAAATAAGCTAGTGAAAATCCGTTAGAGGTGTATAAATTAGTCTTCCTCTCTAAAGGTCTGGTCATTCGGCCAACTCTTCTTGTACTTTTAGTTCTTTTTAGATCTTTAGGGGTGCTCTGAGTATCTGTGAATTGACTGTTGGTCACATCTTCAAGTTCATAGTCCATTGTGTAATCATTATTATTTCCTTTCTCCTCTAACTCTTTTCTCTTCAGCTGCGCCAAACTTGAGCTTCATTGTATAATCTTGGCTAAATGTAGAATTTGCTTTATTTTCATTCGGTGAGCCTTTCCTCTTTGAAAAGTAAGTATAGTTTTGCATCTTGCTATTAGGTGAATTCCTCCCACCTAAATTCTTAGAGGAATTTCTGGCATTCAGGGAGCTAGGAGCTATGACAAAATTCGAGCATTTGCTTCTGTCCATATGATCACTTGGTGAAAGCAAGCCATCGTAGCTGATTGAATTTGATAGATACTTGTTCTCTACAGTTTTGGGGTAACTCTTCATATCTCTCTTGGGACTCTGCTTATACCCACCAAAGACTTCGCTCACAGGTTTGTAGTCTTCATAATTTTTGAAGGTTTCTACTTCCTTACCTCTGATTATCTTATTTAATGTAAGTTTTAGGCTTCTCGTACTCTTCATAAGTTTTAGGTGAGCGAAGCTGGTTTGTACTCCTTCGGCAATCCTCAGTTTTAGAGTGAGAGTCATCAAGGTTCACATTGATAACCTTGGGCTCTGAGGAATCGTCATCCTGAGCTAATTTCTTCTCTAAAGTTGTGTGATGAGGGAATGTCGGTATTTTGGAGGGCTTCCCCGGAAATCTTTCAGTTAAAAGTTACCAGTAACTACTAAGAATCTAATATGAAGTAATCAGGTGTGAAAATAGCAAGGAGGTTTATACTTTATGAATGAGAGGAATCCCATCATAATATACAGAGAGTTTATATCATTTTTGATGATGATCGGCTCAAGGTATTTGTCTAAAAATAATATCTCAAATTCTAAAGAAATCAGAGCTACACAGAGAACTACCTCAAACATATACATTATTAGGGTGAAAATCTACTAGTACTTATCAATGATTCTGTTGATTACTTTGAAAAGAAGGCAAAAGAGAGAAAGCCAAGAAATCAGTTATTTCATTCAATTGTTTATCAGTGGAATAAGGATAACCTTCTAAATACCTTTTAACTGATCGGCCTGGTTATCAAAGTAGTCAATATCCATGGGATTGTCAATCCTGAACTTATGCTTAGGGTGTTTCTGAGGTATCATATCTATCTTATGAGTTTTTAGGAAGGTATTTGACAAATATTTATAAAAATTGTCATCTTTATTATCTTCAACTTATATCAATAAAAAAGGGGTTTTGGGGTTTTGGGGTTTTGGGGTTTTGGGGTTTTGGGGTTTTGGGG